AATAACACACATATAATTATGTTTCTAACATATACAACAACAAATAGAAAATTAAAAACAGACAAAAACAGAACAGTTCACTAATTAGTCCACAAAATCAAACAAAGACAAGTTGGCCCTCTCAATCTTCCATTATGTCCGTCGTCTCTGAGCTCTCTTCTTCGGCCTTCTTCTTTTGTGAGGCATGAGTCCATCAAAAAATTCCACAAACCATTTTGGCTTACGATATTTAAACATGAGACTCCACATGACAGTTCCAACAACTAGTCCAAAACTATAGCCTATGACTATTGATTCCCACGTAAATCCACTAAAAAAATATGTCTCACCTTCATCTTCTTCAGACTCCAATGGTTGAGGAACATGTGATGAATCACTCGTTCCACATTGTTTTGATAAAGGAGGACCACATAAATCAAGGTTGCCGCCATAAGAGTCATTTTCAAATGTGTTGAATTGTAGACCGTGAGGAATTGGTCCGATGAGATGATTTTGAGAGAGGTTAAAAACTGCCAGAAAGTTCATCCTTGTCAATTCCTGCGGAATCTTTCCAGTGAGCCGATTCCAAGAGAGATCTAAAGCTTCAAGCGTATTCAATTGCCCCAATTCCATTGGTATATGACCTATGAGATTGTTATGGGATAAATTGAGTAGCCAAAGTGAGCTGAGATCCTTTAGTGTTTTCGGAATGACACCTTCAAAATGGTTGTTTGAGAGATCGATGGTTGTCGTAATTGTGCTGATTCTTTCTAGCTCAATATCCTGCCCTTTGATTACCAAACTCACTGAATCTTCATACGATCTGACAAATGGCAAATTCGACATAGATTCCATGTACTTGATATTTCCTGTATCTTCGCCATCTAATTTGATCATTGCCTTGAAGTTTCCAAAAACTTTTGCAGGAAGTGAGCCACTAAAATCATTATGAGAAAGATCAAAAATTCGCAACTTGGGAAAGCAAAACTTAGTCTGACACGTACTTATAGGTCCATGGAACTTGTTCGACTTTAATATAAGGACCTGCAGCTCTTGAAGAGTTCCGAGCCAAGCTGGAAATGTGTCATTTATAACATTGTTCCCCACATCAAGGACTTCTAGTCTATCACACTTGAGCAACGACACAGGAACAGGTCCTTCAAATCGATTGCCATTTACGACAATGGTACTCAATGAAGTGCTCTGTGCACATAATGGAGGAAGACTACCTGTGAAGTTGTTCTTTCTTAAGTTCAGCACCGTTAGTGAAGCCATGATTCCCAAGCAATGTGGAACTGAGTCACTGAAGTAGTTGTGTGATAAATCTAATAAGATAAGTTTCCTCATGTTACAAATGGATAAAGGTAGTGACCCCTGAAGGAAGTTAAATTTCAGATCAAGATATTGTAGGTTATAGTAACGAAATTGTGGTAGGTGGCCTGTTAATGAATTATGAGAAAGGTTTAGGAACTGCAATGAGTCCCACGTCATGCCGCTAAACCAGTTAGGGATTTGACCACAAATCTTATTGTTAGAAATATCCAAGACCTGAAGTGTCTTTACATTTCTCAAGAAGTGTGGAAAATCCTTCAGTTGACAAGATGATAAGAATAAAGATGATAGGCTAAGAAAGGTGATATTCATACCCTCATCAATGGTGATGTTATTTGATGAAATTCCAAGGGTTTCAAGGTTTGTGAGATTCACAAGTGATTGAGGAAAAGAACCACTGAGGTGATTATTGCTTAAATGCAGTTCTTTTAATGTTGGGTTTGTTTTGATCACTTCATCGGCTAGTCCTCTGAATCGGTTATGTTGGAGCGATACTGAAGATAGCAAAGGTAGGCTAAACACCCAAGAAGGTATGGTACCATTCAGTGAGTTGTATGACAAATTCAGTTCGGTTAGCTTTTGAAGCATGCTTTGGTTGCTAGGCAGTGGGCCAGATAGGGAATTATTCGTCAATCCTAAGTATTCAAGATGTGTCAAACTTAAAATTGAAGAGGGAAACGAACCGATGAAGCTGTTATTAGAAAGATGTAAAGTACGTAGCTCTTTGAGGTTAGAGAAAACATCAGGAATTTCTAATACACGTGGCAGCGTTTGCATTTCACGCTCTTGGCTCCAAAAATCACGTGTTTATTTATTAAAAGATTGGATAGTTAAAGTGCTTGTTTGTGCACTATGAAAGTTGGAGGTCAAAGTTAAAATTTGAAGCCAAGTTTAAGGTCAAATATATGTATTATCCCAAATGATTATAAGACAAAGCCAACTCCGTAATTTGGGTTAGGTTGCCTATGGAATCGGGAATGGAACCAGAGAATTGACATCCTCCGAGGTTCAAGATATTCAATGAACTAAAGGTGCCAATTGAATCAGGCAGCTCACCGGAGATGCCTGTGGATGAAATATCCAACTCCATTAACAGAGTGTTGCTCCGGTGGATCTTTGGAAAAACTCCTTTGAGAAGATCATTCCCACTCAATTTGAGGCTTTCCAAGTTTGGCACAAGGAAAAAGCTCTCTGTGAGAACACCTCGCAGATTAGTATGTGCAAGATCCACATATCTTAAGGAAGAAGAAATATTCACAGGTATCGGAGATGAGATGTTGACATACCAGAGAGAAAGTATCTCCAGATTTGTGAAGTTGTGAAGCATTGCTTCAAATGTTATCTCATCAAGTTGTAAGAATTTATAACTATAAGAAAGATCAAGTGAAACCAAATTGGAAAGGTATGAGATTTCTGTTGGGATTTTCCCATCAAAGCCAGAGAGTTTTAGATGCCTCAAATTCCTCAATCGGCCAATGCCATTTGGGATCGAAGAAGGATAAAAGTAATTGTTATCAAGGTTAAGTGTGTGGAGATGATGAAGCTGGAAGAGGCTGCTATTGGGATGAATACTTACAGGTATCAGTGATGAGATGTCGCCAAGAGAGAGAGCTAGTACCTCCAGATTTGTGAAGTTGTGAAGCATTGTTTCAAATGTTCTCTCATCAAGTTGTAATCCATACACAGAAAGATCAAGTAAAACCAAATTAGAAAGGTATGAGTTTTCTGTTGGGATTTTCCCACCAAAGTGAGAATGAGAAAGGTTGAGATGCCTCAAATTCGTCAATTGGCCAATGCTATGTGGGATTGAAGAATAATTGAAGAGGTTGTTATAAAGGTTTAGTGTTTGGAGATGATGAAGTTGGAAGAGGCTGCTATTGGGATGAATACTTCCACAAAGCAGACTACTACTAAGGTCTAACCCGATAACATGACCGTTTAATAAGTCACAAGTGACTCCATCCCAACTGCAGCAATCCCTACTCTCATTCCAAGACTTTGTTTTCGGGAAAGAATCTCCATCAGACCAATAACTAAAGTACTCTTTGGACATAATTTGAAAGGATTGTTTGAACTGAAGCAAAGAGGAAGCTTCAGTGGGAGAGCAAAGATGATGATCAAAGGATGAAGAAAAGCATTCACTTATTAAAAACACAAAACAGAGAAATGAATAAAAGAAAAACAGACTCACGGCCATTTTTTGTTTGTTTGATTTCACCAAATAACAGGATGGATGTGTTCTTCTTACAAATCAATCAGTCTTATCCACACAGATATATACTACTTTCTAAGTGTCCTATGTAAATTGAATACCTATAACATACTTATTAATGTAATCCTACGAGTAAAGTTTCAAGAAGGTAGGATGTACGCAGACCTTTAAAGTAAGAATACAAACAACAAAATTTTTCAATGAAAAAATATAATATAAAGTTAGAATAATCAAATCTTACTCAAAACATTAATAAGATTATACAATGATATTGAAATAATTGTGCTGAATTTCAGAAGTTGATATAATAATATTAAAATACCGGCAAAATCTTTAACACTCTTTAATAATGTGTATATTTATTGCCGCTAAAAGTTGTTTTTTGTTGTAGTTGTTTGTTGCAGTGCTTGTAATTCAAAGAATACACCAAAAACAATTTGATCTTTTTTTAACACCCAACAATTTATTTTGCATAATGCAAAAGGTTTTACCGTTTGGTAGGCTTTAGAATATTTCAATAATGAATAAATAAAAATAGTAATAGGAATAAAAAGGTAAAAATAATAATATGGGTTCATGATGATCGTCAATATATAAATAAGTCAATAAAATAAGTAGTCATGTAAGAAAGAATGCTATAATTATCTAAACACTATTTTATTTCTTAATTATTACAACGACCTCCATATTAAATAAAACAAAAAGTTAACTAAACACTATTTCTTGGCTAAAGTTTATTTGATTTAACTCTTAAAAAGTGAAACTATATATTTAAAATAAATCACCACCACCCAACATATCATGAAAATTTTATGCTTACACTTTCTATGAGATAATATCCATAGCTAAGCATATTAAATGTAGACAAAATTTATATTATACATACAAAGTTCGTATAAATAAATAATTGAAAATATAAATAAATCTATAAGTTAAATTAAAGTGCAAGAAAGTTATAACCAATAATTGATAGTACATCTTATTAGGTATTTGTGGTTTTATAATTTTAATTTACCTTTTTTAATAATTATATTTTAACATACTTAATAATAAATATTTGCAAATAAATAACATTTAACAACTTACTATAGAGAAATTATATCATATTTAATGCTTGTAAGAAAAAATTATATATAAATTTGATATATAGTTAAAAATTATGTATTTTTCATTTAATATAATTCTATCAACTAGGGGTTGATTAAAATTCACATTAATAATGTATATAATTTAATTTTACTCTACTTAAACAGTGATTGACTTATTCAAAAATACGAAATTTAATATAAAGTAATATCTAATAAAAAATAAATATATTTATGATAGTTATTTTTCTAAGGATAAATAACTAGCCATATAATTTTAATGCTTTGTATCTTTCAAAAAAATAAAATCGCATCATTGGTTTTTAGGACTAAATATTGTAACTATATATAAGTTAAAAATATTGTTCATGACATTTGTGGTAATGTTCCAATATAGTGTTAGATTAATATTATTGTATAATAATTTATTTAATCTAAAAGTAGAGTATATATTTAACAATAAAATTCTTTCTAATGTCATTGTTATTTTTATATTATTATAGTTTTAGATTTTGTTAAATATATTTTAAAGAAATATTTCTTGAAGACTCCAAATAAAAAAATCCTTAGATTCCAAGAAAATACTTCCAATTAAATTGTATTTAAAAAAATTCAAGTATGCATTCCTATACAAATCTTCAACCAAATTCGCAACAATAAAATCCCCAAGTAATTCTCCAAGTAAGAAAAATTCCCAAGTAAATCCTCAAGAAATAAATTCCCAACAAAATTTGTAGAACATCAATCCCCAGGTAATAACACGTATAAAATTATTTGCAAATAAATTTTCAAGTAATTATTTTTAGCTAAATCTGCAAATAGGTTTTTCTAGGAATTTTCTTGCAAACATACTAAAAAATTAATTTTTTAATACTTGCAAATTTACCTATGAAAATGCTACTTGGAAATTATTTTTCCCAAATAATTCTCCAGGTAATAATTTTGTAAAAATGGCGCAAAAGTTACCTACCAATTTTTCTGGGAAATTATTTTTCGCATGTAGAGAAGTCTAGATTTAGGAATTTCATATTTCCGCATGAAAATTCATAGAAAATTTCTGCAAAAATAATCCCCAAATGAAATTCCCAGGTAATTTACAGTTTTCTAGTAGTGCACCCTCGACTCAAGATAAAGATGTAGTGATCTACACTACATCAAAAATGATCTTTAGAGGTAATTAATTAACGGCTATAGCTTAATCGCTACTAAACATGTATTTTTGAGTGACTTTCTGAGAAAAAAACTCATAGTTGAGTGACTTTTAAGTTTAAAACCAAAGTTGAGTGACTTTCTGAGAAAATAGTGCATAGTTGAGTGACCATCTGATGTATTAACTCGTCTTAATTTCCTATATGTTTTGAATAACTTGGTGAAGATCACTACACCTGTAGAGAAATTTTATGAGAAATAATTTCCGATTAGTTGTTTTTCAAAAGACTTTTCACATTAAGTTAATGAGGGAAATTTCATCTATATGATACCGTTCAAATATGAAGAGGTGTAGTGAGAGGCTGTTTTCGTAGACCCTCAACTCAGGATAAAGGTGTAGTGATCAAATTAAAAAATGATGCATAAGCAAAGAAAACTGAGTAATCAACTTATTGTATTGAAGGATCACAGTTTTCTGTCGTTTGCTTTTATAGATATACTAGTTTCTGAACACGTACGTTGCACGTGTGTCTCAAGCAAGTAGTATACACGATATAAGTTATATTAAAACCATAGTGTAATCAATAACAAAAAAAAGTACAAACTAAAATTGATGAATGTAACACTCATCCAATTTGAATGACTTCTTCGTTGAGCACTAAATGATTTTTTAAATATCATATCTAAGTTTTTTGTTTAAATATTTCAGATTCATTGTTTTGCTATTTGGTGTGAGCATCACAATTCATTATTCAATTATTATGTCATGAAATTTATTACTTAATGTTATTAGGTGCAAATATTTAATACTAATACTTCTTTATAAGCAAAATATTTGCACCTAATAACATTAAGTAATAAATTTCATGACATAATAATTGAATAATGAATTGTGATGCTCACACCAAATAGCAAAACAATGAATCTGAAATATTTAAACAAAAAACTTAGATATGATATTTAAAACAATTCTCGTTAAAATTTACAAAACGCAAATAATATATGCTAATTAAAAATTTAAAGCTAATTGTTATAAGCTTAACAATTGTGCATGGAAACAAATGAAATTCCAATACATGTGAAATCAAAGTATTGTAATTCTAATTAACCAAATATGCCATGCATACACAAAAAAGATTAATGAGTTCTTTTCAAGTAATAATTCAAGTTAAAGTTGAATATTGCAATGATGATAAAAGGTTATAGCCAGTAATCAACGTGAAGAGGAGCATCAATCAACGCATTCAAATAACACCATTTCTTTATATCATGAAATAACTTATTTGTAGAGAGTATAATATCTTTGTATCTTAAAGAATTGTAATCAGATTATACTATAACAATGAATTCATTTATGTCAACTATGATCAACCTTCCGGAGAAATCAAAATTTTGACCAAAATAAGCCATTGTTTAAATCAATTCACCAAAATAGTATGTTTTAAATTTTTTACAAAACTAGTATAAACGGTGTAATACTGATAGTTGAAAGGGAGGAGAGATGGTGATTTTGATCATAATTTCTCGGAAGATTATATTATAGCTGATAATTCAAGAGTAGTAAAAATTGAATATGACAGCTACTCTAATTTGGCATCAATAATCTTACATACTTCTCATCTCTTCTTTTATGCAAACTATTAGAAGGCATAAAAAACAATCTTACATACTCCCATCTCTTCTTTTATATATGCAAACTATCAAAGGATATAAAAAGAAAAGGGAAAAAATGAAATCGAAGTTAAAATGATTTGCATTCAATCTCAAAAGTTACAAAGAGCAGATGGGAAATTAGTGAACTCGTTTAGCCTTTATATAATATTTTTTCCTAGACCTTTGAAATTTCCTTTCATTTATTTACTAATGAATTAATTTACTAATTAATATTCAATTCAACTTTTCAACTTCTTTGTACTTACTGTAGCAATGAGAAGTTGGCCATTGGTTAACGTAACAATTAAATAATTGAACCACCAACGTTTCATATAAAGTTATGGTTATTATAATTATTAAATGCAAAGA